GTGTAGACGTACACGAACAAGGAGATTATACTAATGTAGAGAATGATTGAGAACCAGAACTGTAAGATAGAAAAAATGTATAATTTATTCAGAACCAAAGACTTATACATACAGGGTGTTCCGTAAAGGGTGTAAGAGCCGAAAATGGCAGATAGGGAGGGTCTTCCTGAACAACAATTTCCTTTGGCAAAATGCAGAATGGGGCTTGGTTACCGAGTTATTAACAAAAAACACGGACCAATCAGAGCGCTCGGTCTACGCGGGCCCCGACTTGGAAGCGTTGGCGAGAGCGGGAGCCCGGATCCGAGCCAACGCTCTCGAGTCGGGGCCCGCGTAGACCGAGCGCTCTGATTGGTCCGTGTTTTTTGTTAATAACTCGGTAACCAAGCCCCATTCTGCATTTTGCCAAAGGAAATTGTTGTTCAGGAAGACCCTCCCTATCTGCCATTTTCGGCTCTTACACCCTTTACGGAACACCCTGTATATGTAATATATGCTTATTAAATAAAAGTGTCAAACATCTGAGATATTTTACGGTGGTTCTGGTGGGAAAACATCGTGAGCCACGATGTTTCGAAATCACGATCGAGTTGACCAGAAACTACGGGGTTGACCATAAAAAAAAAAGGTATAGCTGCTACTCGAAGCTGCACAGCGAGTGGTGAACCCATACTTTCGCCCTAGTCTGGAGAAGAAGTCGGCGGGTCCTTCTGAAGCCTCTGTGCTTTTACATGAGTTTCCTTATACTTTTAATTTTCTCCTACGGTACTGTTTCTTACGCCGGGGCATCTCTCAAGCTGTGTGAACCTGGCACCAGACTTTAAGTAAACAATTCGAACGACCATGCGTTCGATTTCCCTCGGTTTGTATTCGTTTGTACCATTCATTCAGGGATGACAGTTCAGGGGATGGGAAAAATAGCTAGCACCCCATTTTCATATATCGTAATTTGCCAATGGTCATTTTATTAAGCATCGTTTGTACCCGTTTGGACCAGCGTTGAGGTATTTTTTCCCTCGAGGCTCGCTTCCCCTGTTTTTCGCCCGTATTTCGATCCCCACTACTATTCCCCTCATGCGTGCTCATGCGTGTTCGCGAAGCTCTCCGCAGCGCTACCGTGAAAATCACTGCATACCCCCACCAACTATTGGTCCCCACCATGGTCGCGTCGTCCCCACTTTCCGGCTGGGAAAAAATACCTCAACGCTGGTTTGGTCCGCCTTCACCTTCGTTTGTACCCCCGGGGATTCGTTTGTACCGCGATCGGAAGATAGGGATGGAAGCTAACTTCCACGTTATTTGAGATATTCGAAATCCACGAACGGGTGCTGTTTCTGAATCGTTTGTACTCGTTCGTACCGTCTTCATCTTTGTTTGTACCCCCGAGATTTCGTTTGTACTGTGATTAGAAGACAGGGGTGGAAGCTAACTTCCATGTTTTTCGAGATGTTCGAAATCCGCGAACTCCCGGAGGTACAAAGAAAGGTGAAGGCGGTACAAACGGGTACAAACGATGCTTAATCGAATGACCATTGGCAAATTACGATATGTTAAAATGGGGTGCTACCTATTTTTCCCACCTCCTTGAACTTTCATCCCTGAGGCTCGAATTTATAGTCGCTTTTCGCACTTGACACTCAGCACTCAAGTGCGTCCCACCAATGTACACATTGTTATGTTTAAAAAGAAGTGAGAGAAGCGGAATAGCTGCGCAATAGTTTTTCTCCTTTTCCACTTCTTTCACTTCTTTTTCAAGCATGAAGTATAAAACTTTTAGAATCTGAACATAACATAAATGTGTACATTGAACGCGGAATGGTTGGACGCACTTGAGTGCTGAGTGCCAAGTGCGAGAATCGACTATAAATTCGAGCCTTAAGGGTATATACGAAATGAAGAGTGGTACAAACGGGTACAAACCGAGGGCAATCGAATGCATGGTCGTTTATACTCGGTTCGCCGAGAGTGTAGGACCATTTCGCGCAGCTTGGAAGGTAGGATCGCAGCGAACCCCCTCCACACAGTTCAGTATACACGGTGAAGCATTGAGATGCGCAGAACGATCAAAAACTGAACTGTGCCCGCTCCTAGGCTCTCGCGAACTCAGGTATAGAGTGGAGTGCCAGGTTCACATAGGTCATCTCTCGAGCCCAAAATTTCGCTCCCCACCACATAAGATTTTTCTTACGGTACGATTACGGTTATGATAATGTGAACAGGCCATAATACGTATTTTGATCTGTAGGATGCGCCAAAATATGACCAGCAATTTGCTGCATGGGGAGGGGAGTGACGCGTGCGCCTATTGTGTTCCCCCCCCCCCCCCCTAGCGTATTTCGGCGCTCCTTACCATCACAATGCTCCGTCCTTCAGGCACAGTATACCTAAAACCAGTATGATCACTCGAAGAGAATTAACGTCCGAGAATTTCTACTGCGCATGCCACAATCATGGACATGCCTGCAGCTCTACTGCACATGTATCTCGGCACCAGAGTTCAGCTGACGGCCCGTTTTCTCTAGATTTAAGTAGCTAATACATAGATGGGCAGCAGTCGCTACGCGCTACGCTAGCCGCTTGCATTGGCATCGCTATACATGACGACGTAATAAAGACCCGCGCGAATCCAACACACATGACTCAATATTACGACTGATTTATTACGCCCCTAAAAAATTGCATTTTATACAGAACACGCAATTTAATGCATGTGTTAATGAAAATAAATTTTGTTATCCTTTTCTAAATATATTATTTTGAACAGTTTTTGATTCATTGTAAATTCTTTTCTAATTTGAAGACTTTGTAAACGGCAGTAAATAAATAGCCGAATAAGATCAGAAAATTAACCGTTAAATAGCCGTGCGATTACATTTTACACAACCTACATACATATTTGTTTAATTAAGTTTTCCTATTGCCATAGGGGTATTGTAAAACAGGTTAACCAAATCATTTCTATTTTTAGGAAGAGATAATAGTATGTCGCGATAGAAAGCCGGATTATAAGTACAAAATGGTCCATTGGAAAAATTTGCGGTTACAGAACATGTATATTTATTTAATTAGGCTCTCGTACAAGCCGTAATATTAGTATTTAGAAAAGGTTACAAAATTTAAAGTGTCGTAACAAATTAGTCTTGCTCTTCGATGTAGTCGAAGGTTTTGCTGAATCGATACGCATTATGTTTTATAACTTCATGGATTCGCGCGCGTCTTTATTCGGCATGTATGACTATGCTACGCCAATGCAAGCGGCTAGCATAGCGCGAGGCGACTGCTGCCCATCTATGTATTAGCTACTTAAATCTAGAGAAAACGGGCCGTCAGCTGAACTCTGCTCGGCACAGCCAAGAATATGACTAAAGCTGTACCACAGTATACCTAATATTTGACAGTATAGCTAATATTGTCCACAAGTGGTGCACTCTTCAGTCGAATATACGTAGTATAATCCAAATAGCGCACTTGATTGAAGTATAAACTTGTTCACAGCCGTATCAAAAATTTCATTCTTCATAACGAAAGCACAGTATACCTATACTGTGACGAAAGTTTATCTTAAATTGAAAGTAAGAAAAGGAAAAGGATAGGCATACAGTAATAAAAATAGGAACAGAACTTTGCGAAATAAAAATTTTAATTAATCCTCTTATGATGTACAACAGAACTTCGTGAAATAAAAGTTTTATAATACCGAGAACACGGCGGGCAACAGCTCTACTGCGCATGTGGACACGAAGGACATGGCGGCGTACCACGTGACATCGGACACAATTCCCAAGAGAGAGTGACCATACTGGTATTAGGTATACTGTGCTTCAGGTCCATGATCCGACTATGGCCGGAGAGTGGGAATCGTCTTTCAGTAGCCGACTCAATCAAAGACGAGGCAAGCAGATATAGCATTCGTTTCAGTAAATGTCGCCAAATCATCTGACCTGGCGTTTCGACGAGAGCGTATTGCTGACATTATTTTACAAACGATTTTGTAACACGTAATTGACGTCATAGTAAATGCGTATATATGTATTGCGGCATTCTTACTCCGTCCCCTGGTACCGAAAGTGATGGATCTACTAATTCCGTTGAACGAATCGCGACGGCGGATGGAAATGTACCCAGCTTACTACTTCACTGACAGTCCAGACAAGTATTACTATGGGATTATCATATACACGACATTATGTACGATCTTCGCCATGAGTGTCTTCGTCGCGTCGGATACGATATTGATCTACTCGGTGCAACATGTTTGTGGACTCCTCGCACTCGCTGGGTAAGTTTCACATTTAGCCAATAAGTTCATAAATAGTATTTTTTACTCGTTTTAGCGTATTGATATAATCCCTGTAGTACCGATATGCATTTATGAATACACCGAATAATACAACATAGTACGATATACTATAATATACAACATAGAATACTATAACGTAATAATACACATAGCTAATAATAACAAACACTTAATGAATTTTATTGCGTGAATAGAGCAAATCGTAGAAAAGAATATTGATACTAACATTGTTGAAACTAGGAACCATTACGCAGTACGCTATTTTAACAGTAGTAGTGATGATTGCAGATCTCGTTTCAAGTACAGTTTGGACAGCTTATATTCGTTAACAGACGATACGAAAGTCGACAACGAGAGATTGTACAAAAATGTATGCGACGCCATTAATTCTCATAAACGAGCTTTTGCGTTAGTATCACAATATTGAACACAGCATGTGGTCGCTTTCGAACTCCGTTCATAGTTTAAACACTCGTTGCCTAACGCTTGCCTGCACTTGAACAAATTGCTGCAAGTTTAACTCAAACTTGAGAGGGATGGAACACTTCCCAAAATTTCAATCAATCTAATAAAAATGATTGTTTAAAATTTAATCATTCAATATGATGCGAAGTATATTTATAAACAATCTGCGTACTTCTATCCGTTATTAGATATTTAGACTTTGTTTTAAGAAACAAACGCTAAATGTCGTTTTCTAATTCATATATACATATTGTTTCGTAGATTTTTGCATACGATAGTTTAAATTGCAGCATAAATGGCTTATAAAACCGTAAATATCCGCTTGTTGCTCGTCAAGAGTTTATTCACGAAACATGACTTGTTTTAAGATGTATTATTTCATACTTGATTCTTTTGCCACTGCTTCGACGGCTAACTGACGCATTAGTAAATTGCTATAGACAATTTTAAATGAACTAGGTAGGTATCTCACTGAAATCGAGAGCGCGTATGCCATAAACCTCTTCGTACAAGTCGGCGTGGTAATTATATCTTTCACCATAACATTATTCCAGGTAAGAAAACTCAGTCAATCAAATTTACATTTTTGATGGTTTCGGGTGTGAATATGTATCAATGTTTTTTTTGACTACTGACAATGTTAGCTGCAATGCTAATGAAACTTAGAAGTAATCTTAGACCATAAGTGTACGGCTACTAAAAAATTTTAAAGATCGATTCTGGGAACTGAAATAAGGTAAACATTAAGAGTAAGAATATTGTATCGGAGGTTTTATTTTTTACTTACCAGCGATCAAAAATTATTCCTGTCGGCATTCGTTCTCAGATAGTACGTGTGTTTAACAATCTAAATGCTAATACAGTGTGTTCTTTATGTATGACTTATTAATTGATCCCCCCTTGGGTTACAATCTTATGGTATCTTAAATCTACTTTATACTATCTTAAAATTACCATACTATATTCTCGCTCGCATCCTGTATACAGTACCTACCACAACTTTTTATTTTTTATTTTTGACTTATCTTGGCGTTTAAAATAACTCTTTAAACTTTTTCCCACCAATAACTGAATACCCTGTATATTAATATTATAATTAAGGGAATGGTAATTCTACACGGAATACGGAATAATTACATCCGAAAGCCTCAAGATTGTAAATTGTATGATGCCGAACCGTGAAAATGTCAATCTCTTATTAGTCAATCGGTATCGTAAACTATATTAAAAATGATTGAAACAATAGGCAGCCACGGTGTCATTTAATATGGAAACCTATCATTACTTCGGATTTGCGATTTCTCAGTTTGTACACATCTTCTTCCTTACGGTTCAAGGTCAATTCGTGATCAACTTACAAGATAGCATTTACATTAAAACGTGAGTATCGGATTTCATACCAAGTGTTGTTAATAATGGGTTTGTATCAAACTACCGCCAATCATTTTGTCAACAATATTTTAATCGACAACATTTGACCAACATTGAGTCCGCTGACAAGAATAATTCACCGATAATGTTCATACCAATGCTTGTTTTGTAGTATACTAGATCTACGTTCAGAAAGCATTTGTCGTTACGGATTTTGTTCACACGTACTTTCTGATGATTGTCATAGATACGAAACGTGCTGGTATAGGGGAAACGTTAAGACGCAAGCATTATTCGTTATGATTCAACGCAGGAATCTGACACCACCTCAACTGACGGCTGGCGGACTGATAGAATTGAATTTGGACACTTTCGCAGAGGTAAAATGTTATCGAGTGACGGTTATTCGATTGGGAAAATTGATAGTTTTACGTTATTCTAGGTCGTAAAAGTGTGCGTCTCATATTGTACCGTCCTGAGGTCTACGTAAACGATGTAATTAAGGCATATGGATTTTTACACGCTACATGGTAATGAGTTGAGAAATATATACATTAAGTGATATATTAAATACACGTAAAGTTTAGTCAATAAATGGATGAATCTAAATCTTTCAAAAGTATGCATAATTTGTGAGAGTATATGTTATATATGAAATTCCTATGAAATTCCTTGTCATTTGTCGCTTTCGTAATACGCGCTCGGTAACCATCAGCGAGTATCGAAATGTGACGACTAATCATTTCGACATTCTTGGTCATCGGTCTGAGATGCGCTTGAAATGTAGAGCATGTCGAAATGACGATTAAGCGTTTCGACGTAACTAAGGCATTTCAAGATGCGTATGAAGACCAGGACATGTCGAAATGATTAAAGGAAGCTTTTCGGCTATAAAGCCTGGCCATCGGAGCCGATACGACAGTTCTCGACTCTTAACCCGCGAACTCTCTTCGTGTCCTTATCGGTTTCAAAGCATCGTTCAGCTGATTCCCTGTGTGGCTGCTCCTTGAGCAGATTCGCGCTCGGATGCAATTAAGAACTAAATTTGAATTAACGCAAAACACCCTTTTAATGTTTCTTCTTTTTAAGAGCATCGATGAACAAACGTTGCGTTTTCCACGTGTCCCATCGCACAATACCCGTTGCTAATTACAATTTTGCTCGTAATTTCATTTTCGCGAGCGTCTTTTTCATCGCAACGCACGCCTGCAGAACGCTCGCTCTCGATTCTCGCTCGCGCGCGTGTTCCGCGACCGTACCTGTCCTCTCGCATAGAGGTGCTCCGCACCGCTTCCGCATTCGCTCGGGCTTTTGCCCGCGACGTAAAGAAAACCTCTTAGAGGGAAAAACTTACGCCAGGAGCAGTGCGTTTACATAATGAAACGTACTCTAATTGTAAGATTCGCTCGCGACTCGTTATCGACCAGTCTCCTTCAACCCCTAATTTTCCCGATCGTGCGTTCGCACAACTCAGGCGCCGAGCAATGGCACCGTGCTTCATCACGGCAGCCAATCTGGACGACACGTTTCCCTGAACCAACACCTCAGTCATAGCCGTATGCGTCCGCGAAAGAAGATCCAAAATCTTCCCTCGCCCCGCAGCCTACTCTGATTAACCGGGTCTAACCCGAGGGAGTGGAAATCGAAAGTGGCCCATGGGCTGTAGCTATGCCAGCCCTTAACACCACGCGGCTTTCGTGGCTGATCACAGCCACGTTGAAACGCTCATCCGCCGATTTTTTATTGCCCACGCCTGAGCCCCTCCCGCACGTCGGGAACACCCTGAATCGAAAGATTCTTAAACGGCTTACCCGAGGGACGAACGCATTGCCTAGAAACCGCTGGGAATTAGAGCAGTTACGTATAAAAGTAAATACATAGTATCGTGTGTGACTAGAGTCAGCATAAAGCCCACTGACACGTGAAACCTCCGATTAGGCTGAGCTAAGCAGCAACTGGTATGTAACCGAGAATAATATTAAAGAATATATACTGTTAAAGAAATATCGTGCCAATCCTTCTATATCCAATACCTATTCCCTTAAGATAGATAGTTAGGTCAAAATGTGCTTAAGCACTTTGAATAAAGGCAAGAACCCGTAATACAGGACGTAACATATAAACAAGCACAAAAGCGTTAAGTTTATTCTGCATTGAATAGGCAATGTGTAAAACAATAAACTAAAAGAATAATGAGATCATTAAAGATAAAATTTTATATGCAACTTAACTTATTATAAACTTACAAGATGAGGATAAGAAATTTTTACACAATTTTTAGACGTTTTAATGCAATATTTCATACAATAATATTAAATATTTGTCATATTGTTTTTCATATAATATATAACATTCGTATTTATATATTTTTTTTAATTCGTAACTTCACTTTTCTTTTTCTTTTTGTTAACAGTTGGTAACGTGTGAGTTTCACTTTCGTAATCAGCACATTCAAGTAAAATAGTCTTGCGTTCGCGACAAATGTTTTCCTTGCATTTTGAAGCTGTGTCGAGATATGCTTGCTAACAAGAAGGCGATTATCAATTAGTAACCTTAAATATCTTACAGCTCGTAAATATCTTATCCTCGTTTGAATAAGCAGGTTTGCATTCTCACCACTTTTTAGCGAGAATTTTTTATGTTGGACAAGAATGGTAGAAGATTCTTTCCTGTAAGAAAGACTAATAAGTTTACTTTTAGTTTCAGGCTTTCTAATAATCGAATAGTTTATTAACCATTCGCGAGGGTTGATTGCAAATTGTTAGGAGATTTTTCTGTAGTATAAATTATTAAGTCATCTCCGAATATACATATACCATATATTTTCTAGATTAAAGAGTGTGAAAATATCGATAGTCTATATGTATGTTAAAGAGTATGGGCGAATTGATTGTGCCCTGTTGAAGTCCACGTTTTATTTACGTGATTGCGTGGACATTGCATTCCGTATGCACACTTGAAAACTTATGTCGCATATCATACTATGTATTAATTCGCGAGATAACGACTCGGTCGGGTTTAATTAGGGAACGAAAAAGACGCACAGGCGACCTTTTTTTTTTTTTTGACGCGGGGAAAATCCATCATGGACACCCCCCCCCCCGTTTCTCCTCCCGCTGCTGCCTTAGCTGGCGGGTGGAGCCACGCAGGGGGTAGTAACCAACTAAAAACCCCTCGAAGGCTCTGGGGATTCAGCGAGTTTGGAGGGGCCTAGGACCCCTTTCGGATTGCGCTCGACCCCCCCTCGCTGTACCATATTGGTGCGTAAGAATGGTCGTACACGAGGAATGTGGGAGGCCGTTACCTAATGTGACCTGTGTAGAGGTTCCGGACTTAAGTGTTCGCTCTTCGCCTAGGAGCCATCACTAGGCGGGGGGGTTCGTCAAATTGTAAAAAGGGTAAGTAGAGTCACCGGATAAAAATATATAAGGAAAGGAATGGAAGTACCTGAGGCATAAGGAATGGACCTAGCCTTTATTGGCTAGGTCTTCACTGGGAGTGAATAAATAACATAAAACATATCTAATAAATAACATATCTAATAAATAACATAAGGAATATAGCGTTAGCTATAGTAGGTCACATATCGACATGTCTAATAAATAACATTAAACATAAAAACATATCTTATAAATAACATAGAACATATCTCATAAATAACATAGAACATATCTAATAAATAACATATATATGTATAAGGCGAATGCGACATTCATCGCCTTCTACCTCTCGCTATTCTCCCGTACTCGTCATGCTCCTTTCGTTGGAGAATGGCTCGCAAGAATTGAGAGAACGCTCGCCAGTTATCTTTTGAGATTAAAATTACTTCGAGAATACCCCGTAGGGAGTCAATAGGGCCTGTTGTTGCAAAAAATTGGCGCCGGATTTCCGTCCATGCCGTACATTCGAACATAGTGTGCTCTCTGGTATCGGTCAGTGACTGGCAACACCGAGGAGAGATTACTAAAGAGTGGCAACGCCTGTGTTAACGCGCGGCCCTTCGTACACGAGGAATGTGGGAGGCCGTTGCCTAATGGGACCTGTATAGAGGGTCCAGACTTAAGTGTTCGCCCTTCGCCTAGGAGCCATCACTAGGCGGGGGATTCGTCAAAATTGTAAAAAGGGGTAAGCAGAGTCACCGGATAAAAATATATAAGGAAAGGAACGGAAGTACCTGAGGCATAAGGAATGGACCTAGCCTTTATTGGCTAGGT